ACCCCCCCCCCCCCCCCCCCCCCCAAAACCAAAAAAATAATTTGTATAACGTGGGGTCCATAAGATGATGAGTTTTATACAAGAAAGAGACTTACGCTCCTCCTTTGATAACTTGTTTGTACAAGAGAAGATATTTGGACCATAAGACAGTGTATACATACTACGTTATTCTTCTCTAACTAGATCACCAAAAGCATTTTTTTTTGCTCTGTTTGGTATGATAGAAAAATAGACAAATAAAAAATTAGAAGGGTAGAAAGTTAAAAGGATAAATAAAATATTATGTTTGGTAAGGAAGGAAAATAGGAAGGGTGAAAAAATTGATGAATTAACTTTTTTTTCGACTCATCAAAATTAATTATTTGTATTGAGATATATTTTATTTGTCTATATATTATATGTACATTAATTTCATATAAAAATATAATGATAAAATATGTATATACTAATCATAACCTGTGCCTGAAGACATGATAAAATATAAAATTTGAGCGTTTAAAAAATTGATCTTATTATATTAAATTTTTTCAAAATATATTAATTACAAATTAATTAAATGATTAAATGATTAAATATATGATATAAATAAGTGGTGTGATATTTTTAGGAATGAAATATATAAATGATTAAATATGTAATAGAAATGAGTGATGTGATTTGATGTTTGAGTCTGACAAAGGAATGATGAGTGAGGTAAGTGATTGATAATGGTTTTGAGGGAAAAAATATGACTGAAATAAAATTTAAACACTCTTGTTTTAATATATAGATATATATATATTAAAAATAAAATAAAATAAATATTTTATTCATCTTAACTCAGAGTGAAAATTTTTGACACAACACGATGATATGACACAAATTTGATTATAACTCGACATGAACTTGAAAATTGACACGACATGACTCGATTGTTATCCTTAATATTAGACAAAAAAAATTAAAAAAAAAAAATTGGTCATTTTTATTTTTCATCCATCCAACCAAACACAAAGAAAAAAAAATATATCATTTTTATATTCGATCTTTGAAAGATAAAAAGTGTATTTCTCCTATTTTTTATCCTTTTTATCAAACGGAGCATAACTCTATAAAAACTCTCTTTGGTAAATGGAAAGACAATAAAAAAAATAAAACATTCTAATTGTTTTAGGTGGGGGTATTTTCATTCCACAAATTTTTATTGCCACCTCATTAAATTATAAATTATAAAACTATTAAATTTCTTTCATCTATACTCATTTTACCAGTAACTAAATTCACTCTATTCTATATTCACCTTATTAATAATTAAATTTATCTCAATCTTTATTTTTAAGATTTTTTTCTATGACTTATTTTCACATAGTCTATACAAAATTTATTTAATTGGGTTATTTACTAAAATTGAACAAACAATTAAGCTATGTGATTTGAGAAAAGAGACTTGATGATATTTTTATTTTCCTATTCAAGAAACTTAGCTTCAAATGCAACCTAGAACGAAGATTTTAAGAAATTTCTTTATGTATATTGAGAAATTGTATGTGAAGATTTTTTTCTCTGTGAATTCTTTCGATCGGCAATTAAGAAAGTAAGAAACAGAAGCATAGAAAGGAATTGGAGTACTATTTTGGTGATGAGATCGGAGAAAATAATAGATCGGACGACGAGTATTCAAGTAATTTGCATAAAAGAAAAACTCATAGTGGAATTTAGTAGGGTATGTTTTGTGTATAGACTGTGAGATGAATATAAAAATAAACTCTAAAGGCGAAGATTGAGGTAAGTTTTGTTATTAATAGGGTGTGTATAGAAAGGATTGGGCTGGTTACTGGTGGGTTGAATATAAAAGAGATGAACTTAGTAGTTTTATTATTTATAATTTAATGGGGTGAGAACAAAAATTTGTGGGATAAGAATAGTTCCTCGCAATTGCTTTTGAGTTTTCTTTCTTCTCCCACCAAAATTCTTAATAGGTTAGCCCTTTGAAAAAATAGAAAAACCCATTGCCCTCGTAAGTCCAAAGCACATTCTTGAGTCTTTCACTCAATCATTAATTGGACCAAAATAATTTTAATCCCGATTTTTTTTCCATTGATTAATTGGTTAGTATTATTAAAAATTACTTCTTTTGTTTAGTTTTTTTTGGCGTGAATAACTTTGTTTATATTAAATATTATACTTTGTTATATAAAAAATTTGAATTTTTGTTTGTATGAATTTTTGTGCATAAGATTTGGTCCTCCCAAAGATAAAGTTTTGGTTTCGATCTTGCACATATATATATACAATAATAATAATAATAAGATTGGCTTAGATCATTTTAACAAAAATAACAATCAAACGTCCTTTTTTTGGGTTAAGTAATTGTCGATAAGACTACTCTATTTTCTCATGATAACAACGATTTTTCAGAAGGATCGAAATTATGGTTCGGTCACAATTTGCACAGGGATAAATAGCAGTATAGCTGATCGAATAGCAGATAGTGCTTCAGATGCCTATTTTGGCTATATGGAACTGTGTGTGTGGTTGTGTGAAGGTGTGATGCATAACATCTATATAATAAAATAATTTATAATTTAAATCTCAAAAGATAAATAAAATAATTTTTATTATTCGCGGTTAAGATTATTTTAAATTTTATTTTAAAGTTAATGTAATGACTAATATTAACACTCTAAATTGAATAGGAAAATAAGTCCCTAAGGGATTGTTTGAAGTAATTTTTTAAAAGTACTTTTAAAAATTATTTCTCATAAATACTTAAAAGAAAATAGTGTTTGAAATCGTCTCACCACTATCTCTATCCACCACCACCACCATCACCCCCACCGTCGTCGTCGCCACTTGAAGGAGAAGTTGACGACGACACCTATCCTCATTATTCCGAGTAGTGGAAAAAGCTACGATGTCTATACTGATGTTTCACTACGAGGCTTGGGATGCGTTCTAATGCAAGGAGGGAAGATAGTGGTGTATGGCTCGAGGCAACTCAAGGTGCATGAGCAGAATTATCTCACACACGACTTGGAGCTGGCTGCGGTGGTGTTTGTTCTTAAGTTGTGGAGATGTTATTTATACGGGAAAAAATTTCAAGTGTTCTCGGACCATAAAAGTNTTTGCTCTTAAGTTGTGGAGATGTTATTTATACGGGAAAAAATTTCAAGTGTTCTCGGACCATAAAAGTCTCAAGTATATCTTCACACAGATAGACTTGAATCTCCGGCAGAGAAGGTGGATTGAGTACTTGAAAGATTATGAGTTCACGCTCAACTACCATCCGGGAAAGGCCAATGTAATTGTCGACGCTCTTAGCAGGAAGTCTCGGGGTGAAATCAATTTTCTTGCAGTAAATAGGTGAAAAATGATTGATGCATTAGAGGAGTACGATCTATGGGTGGATGGACCGGAGTATCAACCATATCTATTCAACCTTGTAGCTCAATCGACGCTTCGGCGACGGGTAGTGGAGTTGCATTGCCTGGATTCGGAACTCGATTGGATTAGAGCCCGATTGGAGAATAGAGAGACGATTGAAGGATGGTCTTGGAAGAATGGAGAGTTGAGATATGGGGAGAAGCTATGTGTTCACGATGATTCTTCCGTAAAGGAGGAGATACTGGGAGAGTGTCATCGCTCCAAGTTTGCTATCTACCCCGGTAGTACAAAGATGTATAGGGATATGAAGCGTCAATACTGGTGGAGGGGAATGAAGCGAGATGTAGCCAAGTATGTGGCAAAATNCGCACGGGCATAATGCAATGTGGGTCATTGTGGATAGACTCACTAAGTCCGCTCATTTTTTGGGTATGAAGACCACGGATACATTCAAGACTTTGAGCCAGCTGTATATCCGTGAGATAGTGAGGTTACACGGCATTCCGCTCTCGATTGTGTCGGATCGTGACTCTAGGTTTGTGACGAGATTCTGGCAGAGTCTACAACAAGCGATGGGGACGGAGTTACACTTCAGTACGACTTTTCATCCCCAAACGGATGGCCAATCCGAGAGTAATTTGTTTGGACCGGACATTGTTCGAGAAACTACGGAGAAGATTCAACTTATCCGAGAGAGGCTACGGACGGCGCAAAATAGACAGAAGAGCTATGCGGACCACAGACAAATACCCTTAGAATTCAAGGTGGGAAACTACGTATTTCTCAAGGTGTCACCCAAGAAAAGCGTGTTTCGATTCGGCAAGAAGAGGAAGTTAGCACCAAGATATACCGGACCGTTTGAGATAATCAAAGCGGTAGGCAAGGCGGCATATCAACTTCGACTGCCAGCCTAGCTATTCGGAGTACATGATGTGTTCCACGTGTCCATGTTGAGAAGGTGTCACTCGAATGCAACTCCAGTCGTGAACTTGGAGGAGATTGAAATTCAAGACGGAGCAACCTACGAAGAACAACCGGTAAAAATTCTCGATGCCCAAGAAAAAGTGCTTCGCAACAAAGTTATCAGATTGGTGAAGGTTTTGTGGCAACACCATGGAGTGGAGGAAGCTACATGGGAACCGGAGCAAGAAATGCGGGAGAAGTATCCATATTTGTTCGCTACTTGAGGTAAGTTTCGAGGACGAAACTTTCTTTAAGGGGGGTGGATTGTAACACCCCGCATTTTCTTTTATATATGTATATAGATATATAGTAAATAATTGTGGTAAAAAAATGTGGATATATGTAGTGATGTGTGTTTGAATTTGGTAGATTGAAAAAGTAGAGATTTAAAATGTTAGTGAAAATAATAGTTGAAATTTGGTTTTAATAAGTGAAAATATGAAATTTTAGGTCCTAGAACTTGTATTAAATAGGTTTGGTGTAGAAATATGTGTTGGAGAGGTTTGGGATAGATTTGGTTGGCTTAGGAATGGATTGGAAATGGAAAAGGGACGAAGACAGGCTATGAACAGTGCACTGCTATAACTTCAAGCTCGATTTAGACCTTGATGCAGTCAATATCTCTCAAAAATTAAAACATGAAAGTTTTAGAGCTCTTTCGTATCATTCCATAGCATCTTGAATCATCTCAATCGGAGCTTGGATGAGAGAGTTATGCTCAGATAACGAAANACAAAGAACAACCGGTAGAAATTCTCGACGCCCAGGAAAAAGTGCTTCGCAACAAAGTTATCAGATTGGTGAAGGTTTTGTGGCAACACCATGGAGTGGAGGAAGCTACATGGGAACCGGAGCAAAAAATGCGGGAGAA